AATAATTAACGCTTTGTACTCAATGATGTTGTTGGAGCATAGCTCACTTAGTCAGAAGAAATAAGGTATTATTTGTCTTTATGGTGACATGAATACTACTCCTGCCCCTGCTCCGTCTACTCGTGCGAATTTGTCGAAGAACATTGTCCATGTCCGAAAGAAGTCAACGTAGAACACCTCCTTGTCAGGCAAGTCGTCTGAGATTTTCCAATCAACTTGGATTAGATGATCGGTAAGAAAGTCTACTAGCGCTTGTCCCTTAACGACTTTAGCTGGAACGTAGATAATCTCGTATTGATTGAGAAGCAATGCCTATTTCACTAGTCGCCTAGTCAAAACTGGCTTGGACATGACGTATTTTACCAGGTCAGCTTTGGCAACCAAGTGGATGGTGTAAGCATGCATATAGTGTCTAAGCTTTGGACGACAAAGACTAAGGCAAGGCACATTTTCTTGATTGGTTGGTAGTTGAGCTCGGCACCAGTAAGGGTTCTACTTAGGTAGTAGAATGCTCTTTCTTTTTGGTCTTCTTTTTCTTGTGCTAAGAGTGCTCCAATGGAACCTTCTTGTGCAGCAATGTATAGGATGAGCAACTTTCTAGGCATAGGAGCTCCTTAGACAGGTGGGCTTGCTAGGTACCTTTTTATGCTTTCAAAGGCATTGCGGCAGGCGTCATCCCATATGAATGGAGCATCTTTCTTTAGAAGTCGACTAAAGGGTTGACAGTGTCCAACAAGGTTGGAGATGAAGCACCTAACGAAGGCTAGCCGTCCTTGTAGACTTTTCAGCTGTTGTAGATTCCTTGGCTCAAGCATGCTTTGAATGGCCTTGATCTTTGATTGGTCCACATCAATGCCATAGTACTTGACAATGAAGCCGAAAAACTTCCTAGAAGTGACGCCATCATTTGTAAATCCTTCAAGTGATCAGATCTCTTCTTAGTCTTGACAACTACATCGTCTACGTAACATTATACTTTTTTATGCAGCATGTCATTGAAAATCCTCTACATTGCGCATTGATATATAGCTCAAATAGTCGTCAAGCTAAAAGGGAATTACCTTGTAGCAGTAGAAACCTTTTAGAGTACGGAAAGTTGTTAATTCCTCATCTTCGGGAGCCATGCGGATTTGATTGTACCTAGAAAAGCCGTCCATGAATGATAGTGCCTCATGGCCAGTGGTTGAGTCCACCATGATTTCGATGATTGGGAAGGGAAAGTCGTCTTTCGGGCAAGCATTGTTGAGGTCGTAAAAATCTACGTAAACACGTATTTGTCCAGATTTCTTAAGGACAATAACGATGTTGGAGATCCATTTAGGATATTACACCTCTCGAATGAAGCCTGCTTTGATTCACTTATTAATCTCGGCCTCAATTTGTTGGATAAGCTCGGATCGATAGCGTCTTTGAGTTTACTTTATTAATCGCATTCCAGGCTTGACTGCAAGACGATGTACATCGATGGTAGTGTCAAGGCTAGGCATTTCTTTGTATGTCCAAGGAAAGACATCTTTGTATTCTAAAAGCATCTCGTAGTACTCCTCGATCTCATTCGCACTTAGTGATGCACTTACGAAGATAGGCTTTTGTTTCTCGCTTGTGCCTAGGTTAAGCTCATTGAGATCATCAACCATAGCTTACCCCTTATCCTTGAGCTGTGGTGGTGCAGCAATGACTTCCTCCTCGGGGATTTTGTCTTCTTTGTCTTCTTGGATTATGATGTGCAAGATGTCTTGGACTTTCTCTTTAATGCAGTCCTTTTAAGCTTATTGGCGTGAAGATTGGCCAGTATGGGTGATGGTGCGCCTTTTTACCTTTAGTGATCCTTTTGCATCCACCTCCAGGGTTGCTTGGCATTTTATCCTTAAAGGAATCGAGCTTCGAACATTGTCTTTTTCTACTACACCGTCAAGCTTTTCTTCCTTTGGTGTTGTCTTCCTTTTTCTAGAAGGCTCCTTAGTTTCTTCAAGTCTTTCCAAGGCTGACTATCATGGAGAAGAGCTAGCCATGTTGCTTTGTTTCTTAGGTTTTGACAACATTTCGAACACAGATCTTTGAGGTGTTGGCGTGTTAAGCCTTTTGAAGACAGAGGTTCGGTCTTGATCACCAATACGATCCAATGCTGAAATTTTGGGTTTTGAGCGATTCAGCATATCGAAGACTGATGTTTGAGGAGCAGGTTTAAACTCATCTTGACTTTGTTCAACGCTCACGCTGATATGTCGAACGCTAGTGTTTTTCGTTTTTCTTGAAATCTTCACGGGCGTATTTGGTGTGAAGCCATCCAGCTTTGTTGTTGTCAACTCCGTAACCATGCTCCTTCAACTTATTCTAAGTCTAGGTGAGGTCACGTTTTTTGTCGTTGATGATGTTTGCGTTTTTCTTTCCAAGATTTGAAAATGAGGCAAAATCGTACCAATCCTTTGGCATGAGTTTGTAGGCGTTTGGGTCAAAACCTTCTTCGGTCCTCTTGGTTGGAAGAGAGCTTGGTTCTGCCCCTTTTGCAGGGGTTTTATGGAACCTTGCAGTGGTTTTGAAACTTTAGCATCGCTTAGCTGTGTCAGGGGTAAAACGGCATTCGCCTTAAGCATTTTTACTTTGTCCTTGTACAGTTGTGTGTCAGCTTTGCTTGTTACAGTTTCGAATAGGGATTGCCCATTCCTTCTTTTCAACATTGGGATGTATTAGGATATATCGGAAGACAAGTGTGTTTGGTCCTTTTGAGGGCGTCACACTCCCTTTGGTTGTTGCGGGCTTAGCAAGCTCATCGTCATCTTTGCTTGAAGATGGCACAGCATCCCCTTCTTGCACTTTTGGCATGGCTTACCACTTATTCTTTTTGGGTGCGACTTTACTTGTGACTTGATCACTTTCGGAAGAGCTTCGGGTACCATTTCTTCATCCAAGTAGAACTTGGCATCCGCGAAGTGTGACTTGACTTTAATGAATGGCTTGGTGTCGCCTTGTATCACTTTCACCCCTTCTCGGTAGAATTTTAAGCATTGGTGGAGGGTAGACACCACCACTCCATTCTTATAAATCCAAGGCCTTCCTAAAAGCAAGCTGTAGGAAGTTCTCACATCAATCACGTGGAATAATGTGCTTGATTTAAATTCACCAATGGTCATATCCACACGGACCATGCCCATCGCTATTTGTCCTTCTTGGTTAAAACCTTACATTAAGAGGCGATTCCGGGATAGTTTATCCACCTCGATGCTGATTGTAGTCATTATTGACTTTGGCATGATGTTTATAGCCGAACCTCCATCAACAAGCATGTGGTTGACTTTGTGCTCCCTTACGTACCCAGAGATAAAGAAATGACTGTTGTGAGGCTTTGACCCTAGCAGTAAGTCTTCGTAAATAAAGGGGATTACGTCATGGGTGGCACAACATGTGGCATATTCATGTGGCAGAAGCTTCAAGCTTTCATCCCTGCTTTCTTTCGCTTCATAGACTCGGGACTCGCCAAGACCGCTATTATTGCTCTTTGCATCTCTTTGGGCAATTGCCGCTACTCCTTCATAGCTTTACCTTTTAAGGGCTCTTCTATCTCTACTTCAACCATATGACAGGTAGTTGTAGTGCACTGTTGGAAGAAATCATTCGGGATGTACTTTTGCAAGGAGACGGGAATACGCGACTCTTGCTCGGTAGAGTCCCCAGCGTTCGTTGGCTTAACAGCTCTTACGTTTCTTTTAGGCTTCCTATTGTTGCATCGGTAGTGTTTTTTCCTTTGTTCCACCCTTGGCTTTATAACTTGGGGTCTTCGCTTCCTTGTCTTTTTATAAGTCACCAATGTTCATCCTTCTTCATCATCAGTAAGCGCGTTTTGGTCACTTACCCCCAACGATGGCTATGTAGAAGGTGTCGTGCAACTTGAGTAGGGATGGGAATTGGCATGCATCACTTGGAGCGGCACAGGATCGAATGATCCAAACACAATTGCAGTAGTGTGTGTTGCAGCGGTGTCTTCAAGGTCAAGTTTAATTTGCCCTTGTTATTCCAGCTTCATGATGAGCTCCTTAAGGACGAAGCATTTTCCAACAGGATGGCTCACGATACGATGGTATTTGCAGTACCTAGGATTGTTAACGCGATTCATCTCTTCAGGGCGCTTGCATTCAGGCAGCTCAATCACTTTCTTCTCTAGCAGGTCATCTAGCATTGCGGCCACGTTAGAGTCTAGAAAAGGGTATTTCTTTTGCTTCAGCTCCCTCAAGGTGTTTTTATACCTATCTTGGGTGCGAGAAGGCTCACCTCTTTTTATCTCCTTCACTTTGTTCTTGGAAGAGATCTTGACAGGTGCAGGGGAGGTCTTGATGGGGGTAGTGTTGACAGTAAAAGCTTCCTTGGCAGGTTTCTTCCCAATCTTGTCTACCTTCGGAGCGAACATTTTGTCTTTCTTGAAGTCGGTGATTGGCTCATTTTTTCCATGATTGGTGATACTCAGCTCCATGTCATGGGAACGAGTAGCCAGATCCTCAAATGTCATTGGCTTTATGCCTTAGAGGATGTAGTGTAGGCCCCAGTGCATGCCTTGAAAGCACAGAAAGCCGATCCTTGTAATCCATACTTATTGAGCCCCATCTGTTAATGTAGTCGATGACCGGTTCATCCTTTCATTGCTTTGTACTTGTCAGCTTCAGTATGCTTATGGTGTGGTTCATGTTGTAGAAGCTGTTAAGGAATTCCCTTTCAAGATGGTCCCAATTGTTGATAGATTCGGGCTCGAGGTCGGTGTACCAGTCAAAGGCATTACCTTTCAGCGAGCGTACGAACTGCTTGACGAGGTAATCTCCCTCTATCCTATCATTGTTGTAAGTTTTAATGAAATGGGCAATATTTTGTTTAGGATTGCCCTTTCCATCGAATTGAATGAACTTTGGCGACTGATAACCCCTTGGCATCCTCAGGGTGTTAATCTTCTTGGAGTAGGGCTTTGAGTTTAGAATAGAGTCACGTAAGCTTCCTTGGTACTGCACCTTAAGGCCATGTTTGGTACACCGGATAGGACATCGGATAGGATTAATAATACGGAGTACGGTGTTTGGTGTCCGTTCGTATTAAATAGCCACCGGATTAAACAATCTGGGCCCACCTACTTAATACGCTGGTTACCCGACTGCTTATACCGTTCAAAACCTTCGTACAATTTAGTCGGGGCAAACCCTCTCGCTGTCTCCTTCCTCTCCAGACGCAGTGTCCTCTCGCGCTCGGTTGTGGTTCTCTCCAGACGCTTTCCTCTCGCGCTTGCTCTCTCGGCTGAAGGCCAGGTTCGTCTTCGTCGTTCTTCTTCGTTTGAATCCCACCAGTTTTCTTCTTCTTCCCAGGTTGCGCCCCTCTCTCTGTTCTTCCCCCTCCTTCCATTTTTCTTGCAATTTCTTTCAATTGATCAATCTAGTTATTGTTTTCTCTGTAATTATGCAATTGATTATGTAATTTTGTGTTTTAATTACAAATTTCGAATTTTAGGGTCTGATGAATCTAGTTATTGTCTTCCCCCTCCTTCCATTTTTTTTTTGCATATGAATGCTGTAGTTTATCTTTCCATATTTACCTTCAATCAAGATAGAGATAAATGAGAATACTAAAAGGGAATGTTGAAAGGGAATACTCAAATAAAAGGAAAATGATTGTTCCTGGGTTGGTTGGGCATGCACAGATATTAGATAGAGATAAATGGGTTTTCGTTTCTTATGACTGTGTTGTACTTTCTTTTGCTTATTTTCTGAGCAACCAAACAGAGCATTTTGGTTTTGTGGCTGACCCAATTTCCTAGATTTTCTGTCATCTGAAAATTTCATTGGTAGCATCTCTTGGTATCATATGGGATCCCAGTTTAATTTGATTTGGGCTAAATGGTTGGCAGTTCATATAATCGTTGTGCTATTATTAAACATTAGACATAAGTATAATTCAAAAGTGCAAAATTCTGTTTTAAGAATTTATGAACCATCAATTGTAGAATTCAGCACAAACAAATGTGAACCAGCACAAATCCATTGCCTTCAAATATAGACAGATCCAATCAGGACAGTTAGAGACTTTGGAGGGGATTGGTGGGCAGAGTTTTGGTGCGCCCAAGTTGTTTGATAGAATGCCTCAACGAAATCAAGTTTGTAGAATTGGGTCTTTGGAGGTAGAAGGTGAGGCTTTGTGTAGTAGTCAATCAAATAAACTGGTTAATGACTTGCAGATGCAGGATAATGGTATTGATAGGACTGTTGGTTTGACTGCACCTGGAGATGTAGACCCTCCACTTCGCGCATACCGGCAATTCAACTCAGTGTCATAAAGCTTTCGAGCAAGAGGAAGGGAAAATAGTTGCCAGAGTAGATAGTGTGAGAAAGGTCTTATTGAAAGCAAAGCAGCAGCATGCATATATTTTGGCTATCTGGACAAACTGTTTCTTACCGAAACCAACTTGTATTTGTATATTTTATGAACTTAGATATGTGATTGTATTAATCTATATAACGTAATGACTGTAGTTGTTTTTTGTAAACCCTCTTTTATGTTACTGGAAAATATTTTGAATTTGATGTATGGAATTTACTATTTTTCTTTGTTATTTGAAAATTTGTGTGGTTTTCAACAAGTATAAATATGAGAAAAGTTCAACAAACAAACAAAGATTTGTCAATTATTTTTTCCCTTGTCCTATCCGGTTCAATACCAAACACAGTATAAATAATACGGTCATTAGTCCGATACTGCACCAAACGCCCGACTAATTTAGTCAGTACTATCCGGTGGTTATTTATCCTATCCGACAGAAATAGTCAGTACAGTCCGAGCTGCCAAACGAGGCCTAATGGTACTAGTGACCATCTCCTGCAACTGCTAAACAGAGAGATATCCCATGAACGCCATCGTTTAGTCCAGCTTCTCCTCCGCTTTCTCCACCAGAGGCTCTTATTTTTCATTGGTTTCCTCATTTGGTGGATCAACCTTCAAGTCAGCTTTGTCGTCGTGCTGCACCTCCAAGCGGTTGACGAGTGTGGTAATTTGCAAGTCTTTTTCCTCTACAGTCCTTGTCAGCTATGCAATTGCATAGCTTATTTGAGTCAGCTGCTCCTCGATGGAAGTCATGCCAGTAGTCATGACTAGCATAGTTATAGGACATGAGCTGTTTGAGTCGGCGTCAGAAGTTAAAGATTCAAAGTACCTCATCTGACTTTCTTCCTTGGCACCTTTAACGACGCTAGGGTGATCACAGGTTCGTGCCTCAGGTGCTCTTGCTTATTCGGCAGAGTTGATGGAGGGGTGAAAGGCACGACAAGGAGAGTTCTTGCCTCACTTTGGGTTATGACACCCAAAGTTCCACCACTTGAGGCAAGAATGCCCTTGTTCTTCGTGTTGGTAACGGGAATAGTTTGATCCTTCCTTGGTACCATTTGTTTTTACGGATTTGAAGACAAAGATGAGAAGCAGAGATGTCTCACCGGGCATGCCAAATTTGTAAACATGAAAATTATGTATCAAATGAAACGAGAACACGTGTACAAAGTAGATTTGTATTGATTTGAATTTGTAGGTTACAATCTCTGTTTACAATTTTCCTCTGATTTAATCTTCAAATTTGATGTAGATGTGTAGGTTGTTGATCCAAGGGTTGCGATGACTTGATCTCAGATGAAAAGTTGAACGATTGATTCAAGTTTTGAGCTTGAAATCAACACATGGATGATCTTCACCTCAAGGATGTGGCAAGGTGGTGTTTGATGCTGGATTTCGTCGCTTCACGGGTCTTGGCGACTTGATCTTAAAACGAATGTTGGTACAAGTTTATAAACTTGCAACAAAGTTTTAAAGGAACCGGCACGAGTGCTTGTTGATTCTTCAAGGAAATGCTTTGCCTTTGGTTGAGAGAAAGCTTCGACTTTGGTTCAATGTTCTTTGAAGAGAGTTTTGGCAGTGTATTAGTCTTCAAAGGTTTGGCAGAGGTTTTTCTATGTAGAGATTTTTCCAACCCTTATGCTTGTGGGGGGACCTTGTATTTATAGGCTTCTCAAGGCTTGCCTTTGGGATGATTTTAGGCATGTTTTATGTCTTAATTTCAGCCACTTTACTCCCTTGTCCGAATTTAAGGATCTTGTTGCCTATTTTATGAGCAATCTTCAATTCTTACTTGTTTTATGAAGATGCTTTAGATTTCTTTCCAGTGTTAGGATCAGTTTGGATTCCCTAGCCGAATTTAAAGGGAATTCTCCCTTATTACCAAATTTTGGGGAAGTTTTATACTTCCTTTGCTTGATTTGTGCCACATGTCATTGATCACTTGTCCATTTGTGATGAGTCATATGCTACGTAGAGCTTTGCAATGCATCATTTGTATGCAACAAATTTTTTATGTCTACAGTTGAATGCCTTGGATAGCCGTGCTTGGTAGCATTCAAAGTGTTGTTGAGCTTCGAGCCTTCTTTCATCGAGTGTTTCCAACTCTTAAAGTCATAACTTTGCATTTTCCTCTTCAGTCAAGCCTTCTTATATGGCTATCCTTAGTGAGGGGATTTGACTTTCAAGCTACAGAATAGCTTCCACACCATATATGAGAGAATAAGGCGTAGCTTATGTAGGAGTTCTATGTGTCATCTTATATGCCCAAAGTGCTTCACTGATTCTTTCGTGCCAGTCTCTCTTTGTTCGACTGATCACCTTCTTCAGGAGGTTGCACAGCGTTTTGTTGAAAGTTTCCGTAAGATCATTGGCTGGAGCATGGAGCATGATACATGGAAGACATGTGCTGCTTGAATTTATATTTCTCGAACAGCTCGTCCATAAGTCAGTTGGATAACTGTTTTCCATCGTCGGTGATGATGTAGTAAGGCACATCATATTGATGGATGTTATGCTCTTTGATGAAATGAGCGACTGTTTCCTTCTTGACTTCCTTTAAGGGTACAGCTTCAACCTACTTGGAAAAGTAATCCGTTGCGACTAGGATGTAGGCTTCTCCTGTAGATGACTTTGGTGTGATTGGTGCTACGACGTCCAATCCTCATGCATTAAACGACCATGAAGCAATCGTAGGGTGTAATGGCTCGGGCAGTTGATGTTTGAAGTTGGCGTGAAATGGGCAAGCTTAGCACCTTTTGGTGTATTCCAGGCAATCCTTCACCATGCTCGGCTAATACTAACTATTTCTTTTAAAGCTTCTTCCAGACTGATGCGCCCTGCATATGCCTGAGTGTGCTTCTTCTATGGCTTGATTAGCTTCTTCCTCACCTAGGCATCTCAGAAGTACTCTTTCAAAAGAGTGTCAATAGAGTGTTCCTTTGTAGTAGAGGAAGCGAGGTGCTCGTCGATGTACTTTATAGCGGTGTCTAGGATCGTCTAGAAGCTTTCCATGTTCCAAGTAGTCGATTAGCGGCTGTCTCCACTCTTCAGTGTTAACTGGAAGTACTGAGATAACGTTTATTTGATCTTGTAGCATTTCAATAACGAGCGAGATCAGTGAGGAGCGAGATCACCCATCTTTGGCAAACTAGCACATATGTAGCTTCGTCTTCTGTTAGCAACATACTTGAGGCTAAGTTAGCGAGAGCATCAGCTAGTTGATTTTCTTTTCTTGGCACATGTTCTAGCATCACAGCCTCAAAATTTTGTAACAGTTGAGTTGCTAGCCAGAAGTATGGGACGAGATCATCTTTCCTTACTTCATATTCAATCAAGAGTTAATTGATTATGAGTATGAATTCACCATACACTTCTAACATTGTTAATTAATCAAACGAATATTAGTGTGACTAACACCAAGACAAGCATGTAGGTGCTTAATATAGAATGAGTCCATGGAACACGATCAACAAAGAGTTTTCATACTCATGTCACATGAGAACTCATGATTGAGATAATGCAAAGTAGTCCTTTGACCTGAGGCATCATAGTTGTCTTGTGGTTAGGTCATTGATCTTTAACTATGTCAAAGTCACTCCATCAGAAGGTGTCCATGACATATTTGGGGTTAAGCCGCTTAGCCATGGAGTCAAGTGAATGCGCAACAAGGGATCTCTAACCTTCAAACCGTTTGAGGGAAAATGCTCTATGATATGATTAAGAATCTCTCCAGAGTATGAATGAGATTTAGGAAATTGTTCCAAATCATATTCAAGGTAATCATATAAGTAAGAGAATCACATTGGATAGTAGACATGAATAAACTATCAAACCAAACAATGTGGTCAAAAGTATTGTATTAGAGAAAGACCGTATTGCATTGTAATCCTAAACTGAATAGGTTATCCACCTCTTCTTATTAGCTTGGGTAGCCATGACATACTGCTAGTGTCACTCATGGTTTGTGGAAGCCCTAAAGGTGAGTAATCATTAAAGGGAGAATTGAAAGTATGTTTCAATTCACAATCAATCGTTAAGAGTAACAATCGCCCACTGCCTCACTAAAAGAAACCTAATGGATCGTACACCGAGTAAGGTAGAGATTGAAGAAACAACGGAGATGAGTAAGGATTAAATGGTTTAATTATTTACGACTGTGATTAATTAATATGTTAATTAATCAAACGAATATGTTCGTTATAGACCTCGGGTTAGTTTTGGGCGCAAGGCCCAATGGAATTTGAATGTCAAGCTCATTAACTCAAGTTGTATGACAATTTGAAACACAAAGGGCCTCAAAGCCCAAAGAACCCAATATGGCAGGCCATAAGAGTGAGGGGTAGTGAACTTGGCTTAATTGCAAGTTTGCCACTCCATTGTGAGGTGGTATAAACGCAACTTTATAGCCATTTCATCTTTAGGGTTTGTTTTGGAGAAAAGATGAGAACACAAGCTCCATTTTCTCTCTAAGAGGCCGGCCACCCTATGAAGGTTTTACTAGCAGCTAAATCTTCCTAGGTCACTCATCTCCTCATCAATGCTCTCCTTGGTATGGAGACTTAGAGGTTCTCTATTTTGGGAACTTGGAGAATCCATTCTACCATCCTCATCCAAGAAATCCATGGAATTAAGAAGTAAAGAATGAAGGCCCTATCTCTTTTGTGATTAGCCTTTGCTTATGCAAAGAGGAATCAACAAAGGTATAATATTTCTCAACTCACTTTGTTCTTGAGTTGAGTCTTGGTTCACCATAACTACTAGGCTTTGAATTTCATGGGTAAAGTTTTGTTTTTGAGTGCATACAAGCATGATTCCGCCTTTAATTGTTAATTGCATGTTGTAAAAGTTGCTCAAATGAACTAGTTTTCACAAATATTTCCTTCAAGTGGTATTAGAGCCTAGGTCTAGTAGTTGGTGAATCATTTTGGGTTTTGTAGTTCATAGTCTTTGATTTGAATGTTGTAATTGTTACAAGCTTTATTCTTGCTTCTTTGAATGTAAATTTTGCCAGAAAATTTGCCATCTCAAATGTTGTAGATGTAGTTCATATGAGCATGAATTTTGGAGCTAAAATTTGGTGCCATGTTTATGGGGAAATTTGGCCAAATCCAAAGGGTGAATTTTTTGGTTCATGTTTGTCTTGTTAAAAGTGTTTTAAAGTGACTTTGGGAACCCCTAAGTACCTTAGGATGTTAACCCCCATTTGAGTAGTGAAAATT